CACACATCAGCTATCAGTGGTGAGGAGAGCAGAGTAATGAAGCCAGTTCATAGATGGGGATTATTAGGAGGCCATGATTGGTAAGGGCCAGGGGGAAATTTGGCCAGGACACCGGGGTTACACCCCTACTCTTTTCGAGAAACGCCCTGGGATTTTTAATGACCACAGAGAGTCAGGACCTCGGTTTTCCGTCTTATCCGAAGGATCCAAAGGACGGCGACTGTTTACAGTGTAGTGTCCCCGTCACTATACTGGGGCATTAGGACCCTCATGGACCACAGGGTGAGCACCCCCTGCTGGCCCCACTAACACCTCTTCCAGCAGCAGCCTTAGCTTTCCCAGGAGTCTCCCCTCCTAGCTCCAGTGCTATTACTGCTGGCAGAATGACACCCCAGCAGAGGCAGGGGACCCCAGAGCCCCTGCGATACGCATGCTCGGTGCGACTCTGGAGCTGCAGGCCGACCCGCTGGAGACCGGGAGGGAGGAGCGGACGGCGGGAACTCACTCTCCCCCTTCTCGTCTACGAGGGTGACCTCGAAGCTGTTCCGCCGGGGCTTCTCGGGGTTCAGCTCCACGGCGACGTCGGGGTGCTGTCCGGCGATGGCCTCTCGCACAGCCTCCGCCTGGCGCCCGTACACTCGTCAGCTCTTGCTGTGGTAGACACACACACACACACACACACACACACGGCCGCGGTCAGGCACGCTCCAGGACCCTGGTGGCAGTAGAACGACCCCTCCGCCCCAGCAGAGCCCCGCGGGGCTGGGGTCTGGAGCGACAGACACAGGAACTTGAACTTTATTGCCATATGTAACCGGTACATGTACTGGTACAATGGAATTCTTACTCACAGAAAGTCTCTCGATTGTTAAAACAAGTGTAAAAACACAAAGTGCAAACAGTGCATCAAGACAATATACAAACAAACAGTAGACAATGTACAAGTAAACAGTTTGAATGTAAACAATGTAGACGTGTAAACAATGACTGGAGATGTGCAATAAATAAGAAATCATATTGAGGTAGAGGGTGTAGGTGTGGTCCGAGGGGCATGGCTAAATGTGTTCACCAATCACACTGCCTGTGGATAGAAGCTGTTGAGGAATCTGGTGGTCAGTGTCCGTATGCTCTTATATCTCTTGCCTGAGGGCAGTGGGGTGAAGAGCTCATGCCCGGGGTGGCGACTACGGTTCTACCCCAGCAGCCCCTCCTCACCAGTGCTCGATGACGACCCTCCGGCCTGCCCCCTCCCGCCTCTCCCTCTTGGGCTCCTCTCCCTCCCTCGGCGCGGTCGGGGGCTCGGGCTCCGCCTTGCGCTTGCGCCCCCGTGAGGCTGGAGAGAGAGGAACAGGGGCGTCACAGGGACAGGAGGCACAGCTCCCCCT